CAGGATGGTCTCGATCTCCTGACCTCGTGATCCACCCGCCTCGGCCTCCCAAAGTGCTGGGATTACAGGCTTGAGCCACCGCGCCCGGCCGGCGAACACCCCTTTTAAAGAAATTCATTTTTTCCCATCTCCTGGTCAACTATGTGCATCAGAAATAACCATGCAGGTTCAAGTTAAAGACTAGTAGTAAAACAAAGATGGAGCACGCTGAGTTGCAAAGGCTAAAGGTAAGTGATCGTGGGTTCTTTCTTACTGTGTCTTTCCGTTTGCAAGGGGGGTTCAGCCTCCTTTGCTGCTTCTAGGCCTCGCCGGTCTGACGGGCTCACCTGGCCCCTGCGCCCCTCCACCCGACGCCTTGCGGCCTTTCCAGCCCCTGATGCCGCAACCGACTTGTCACTTTTCACCTCGCCTCTCCCAGGGGTGGCCCGGGCCACCATTCTCCTCTTTTGCCTATTCTCCCCGCGCCCCCCAGCCTCAGGGCCGCAGCCTCCCGCGGCGCCTGGCCCTGGCGCCTGCCGCTTTCTCAGGTTTCGCACATTGCCTTCAGGCCCTGAGGCCGTCGTTGGGCCCAGGGGCGGAGGTCGTCGCATGTGCCCCGGGGCCGGCCCGCCGGGGTCCCTCTGCACCAGCTCGCAGGAACCCACCGCGGCGCAAAGCCCGCTCCCCTGGCCAGGCACCTATTGCCCTCTGACCCACCCCACACCGCCAGTCACCACAGCCCAGGGCCGGAAGCGGAAGTGGGGCGCGTAAGCGGAAGTGGGGCCTAGTGTCTGGGGCCCCGACTGGTGCTTCGGGATCCAACGGGCAGGAGAGTCGCGAGTTCCGTGCCAGCGTCTTTCCGGAGGGCCTCTCGCGGAGCCCGGAGGAAGGCAGTGGCTGCGCCTGATTTAATTGTAGTGGGGCTCATCACATCACAGACCTCCGTTGTCCCTTCCACTAGGCCGAGCTTCCTGGAACCGTTCAGGGCTCATTCTCCCAGGTGCTACTCCTCACTCCTTGGCTGCTCGCAAAGGCCACTGTCAGCCAGTGGCTTCTAACTCCACACCAAGTCTCCCAGAAGCCCCTGTCTAAAAGCCTTCCTGATATATTCACCCGGATATGCCACAGGCACCTCACACTCAGGTGGGCAAACCAGCTCATCGATTCTCACAAGCTTGCTCCTTTCACATAGGTGGATGTGCCACCATGCGCCTAATTGTTTAAGCCAGAAACCTAGAAACCAGCAGAGACAACCTTCTTTCTACTTCATCCCTCACATCCACTTTCACTAAATCTGCTTGACTGTATTTTGTTTGTCAGCCACTCTCCCACTTGCCATTACCGTGGCTCTGGCCCTCAGACTTTCTTGACTGACCTACTGCATCAAGCCTCTGAATCCATCCTTGAGCTATTCCAGTCAAATTTCCACCTCCTTGCCAGGCCATGCCTCTCCTATGAAGGGGGATCCTAGCACTTCTTAGTTTGACCCTTCATGAACTGTTTTTGCTCAAAGACTAAAATTAACAGAAATCAAACTCTAGTGTGGTATCTGCAACCCTATCTGATGTAGCCTCTGAAAATTTACCTGGTTTTCTCTTACTGCCACTGCAGGGTAAAAGTTGTGCTTTGATGGAAAACTACATAGAAGTCACCCTTCCGAATTAGTTGATTCTGATTCTATGGCAGTTATTTTATGACTGTGTAAATTATAGATAAGCAATAGCAACACAAAATAATGGTCTATAGACATCCAAATTCTGTCCAATAGAAGTTTAATTGACTTCCCATTTTCACTGTGGAAGAAGCCAGTTTTGCCTCCTTTTTCACATTCATTTCATTTCTGGTCTAGAATGTTTGTTGTTTGGACTTATCCTTTGAACCAATGTTTATAAAATCTGCCTGATGAGAGAATATAATCTTTAATACATGTTCATCTATGACAGCCATTATTTTCTCTTTTTTGAAAATTATCTCATCACCACACATAGCCTGCCCGTAAGCCACGTTGGACTACTACCTGAAGTTCCCCAGATTTCATATACTTTTGTCATGCTTGTGCTTCTGTACTTGACAGTTCTAGAAAGTCTTCCTTTGCTCGTCTGCCTGGTGAACTACATATTTCCCCTTCAAGATTGAGTGCAAGGATCACCCATCAAGGAAACTTTCCTGCCACTGTTCTTGCACTTTGAGGGGTAAAGTGTTTCTTCCTGTCTGCAAACACACAGTTCAACTATTTATTTGTGTGTCTCCCTTAGTAGCTTCCTTCCATCCGAGTGCAGATACCTTCCATTAATCTTTGCTTTCTGTGTGTTTGAAGAAGGACCTGGCGAATTTGAATACAAAGCATTAAAGAATGGTAGGTATGATGCATGGAGTGTGACTAATATGGCAGTTTGGATGAGGGGCTCAGGTCGAGTATTCTGAGGAGCTTTTATAAAATGGAATTTAAGTAAAAGAGGTGTAAAAGATACAGAAATTTTTCTTGTTTCTTTCTCCTTGTAAATACCCTTGGTAAAAGGAAAATCAGTTTAAGACTAGCAGAATTTATAACAAGTTATCATAAGCATTTCAGGCTCATTCAACAGTCACTTTATGATTCACTTTATATATCAGTTTCCTCATCTGTAAAATGAAATAGTATCTCCTCAGAGTTCTCATGAGAATTAAATGTGCCAATATTTGTAAAGCAGTAAGAATAATGCCTAGTTGATTATAAACATTAAATAGATTTGTTAAGTAAAAACTTCAGCACACACACACACTGAGTCAGAGTCTCACTCTGTCACCCAGGCAGGAGTGCAGTGGTGTGGACACAGTTCACTGCAGCCTTGACCTCCTGGGCCCAAGTGATGCTCCCACCCTAGCCTCAGGAGTAGCTGGGACTACAGGTATGCATCACCAAGCCCAGCTCATTTCTTTCTTTTTTTTTTTTTTTAAAATAGGGATAGAGTCTCCCTATGTTGCGCAAGCAGGCTTTGAACTCCTGGCCTAAAGTGATTCTCCCACCTCAGCCTCCCAAAGTGCAGGGATTACAGATGTGAACCACCGGCCCTGGCCTCAATATATATTAAAAGGTAGACTCTATAGAATTCTGACATTTACTACCTTCAAAATAAGCATTGCTACTAGAATGTTAGTAAAATAAAGATAAAAATTCAAGAGTCCAGCCTCTGGTCTGAATCTGGAGGCCACTGGCTTCACAGAGGCTGTTCCTGCCACTAGGCACCCACTGCCTTTGGCCCACTTTAAGGACAGATGGTATTAAAGTTGGTTGTAGGCCCAGGAATTTAGAAACTTTTATGACCCATAACTGTTGAACAATATGTAGAACAGGAATGAGCAGAACTTAGTAGCATAGGAAATTCCAAAATCAAGTGCAGTCGTCCCTCCCTATCTGTGGATTCTGCATCCGCAGATTCAACCAAGTGTGTAACAAAAATATTTGAAAAAAAAATGAATAAAAGATACAAAATTAAAAACCAATGTAACAATTATTTACATTGCATGAGGTATTGTAAGTAATCTAGAGATGATTTAAAGTATACAGAAGGATGTGTGTAGGTTATATGTAAATACCATGATATTTTATGTAAGGAACTGAATCACAGATTTTGGTATTGAGAGAGGTCCTGGAACCAACCCTCTGTGGACATTGAGGAAGGACTGTATTATACTTAGGGTTCTGCATAGGAAAATTTTAATCTTTATTACAGCTTTTAAAATCCTCATACCAAACTGCTTTCACAGAAAACTTGAGGTTAGATGTCTTTATAAAAAGTTTCCATGCATCTTCTGTTCTCTTCTGTGAAATGATTATCATAATTTTACTTATTATGCATGGCAATATCTGGAAAGGGAAGGCATTATCATTTATCAAAAAAGACTGTCTTCCTAGTGGGAGACCTCACATTCTTGGGAATCCAGAACATGAAGCAGAATATTTACTGATAGCTATTGGGTTGCATCTCAGTCCACACAGAGATGACCTTCTGTGGGTGCCTAAGAGTCCCTTCTCTTCTAGTCCGTTCCCTTTTCCTTTTCTACCCATGTGCTCTTGTCCCTGCATCCTGGTTGGCAATATTGCCCAGCCCTTGAAGTCAACTTCAGGGTCACCACTTCTTCAATGTCCTAGTTCTATCCAGAAAAGAGGACAGCAGAGCTACATTCTCTGCATTCCACAACTCTAAGTTGTAGATTATTGATCCTCTGGACTGGCTACATAATTTATGGGCCCCAGTGCAAAATGAAAACTCACACAGCCCTTTGTTCAAAAATTAAAGTTTCCCCATTTCTTTGGGTCTTCATTTCTAAAGGCTTTTGTGTCATGTAAAACTTAAGGAAGTTTGTGAGCTTTTAGCCGGGCATGGTGGCTCACACCTGCAATCCCAGTACTTTGGGAGGCTGAAGCAGGAGGATCGATTGAGCCTAGGTGTTCAAGACAAGCCTGGGCAACACACTGAGACCCTGTCTCAAAAAAGAAAAAAAAAAAATTAAAAACTTTCAAGACAGCGACAGCAGAGCATTAAACTAAGTATGGAACCCTGTGCAGCTACACAGGCCATGTCCCCATAAAGCTGACCTTATAGATTCATGTTCTATTTATACAAACATCTATAAGACTAACAGTCCTCTCTATTGCTAATATTTGTCAACTCTAACATCATAACTTCTATCTTTTATTATGCCAGTCCATGGCCAATTTGCAGTTAGAGCAATTCCATACCGTTTTTCTGCCCTGCTATGACTCACAGGGGCCAGCTCCTGATTCTGCATTTTCCATATTCCTGGGTCAGCTGGCTTTGGGTGAGACTAGGCCAATAGAGAACTCTGGCAGAATAAAGAAGGGAGAGTTTTCCCACATTGCTTTCTGCCTTGAACTGCCTAGCAGACAACTGGTACATCTACCCTGGGGCTCCATCTCTTGCTGGAGGGGCTCTCTGTGGGGGCAGCTTCAGCCATGTGCCTTGAAGTCCCTTTGCCCTTCCAGCCTAGAAGTGGTAGTTGCTTTCTGCTGTTATTAATATCTGGGCACCACAAACCTCATTTGATTTCTCAGTTCTTCTATCCCATTCTCTGCAGTACAATCCTGTTTTGTTGGGAGTGATGAGGTTCAGAACATGCTACCCCAAAATATGGCACCTTGGCATTTGAGAAAACAGCAGAAGCAAGATCACTTTTACCCTCCCCCTGCCCTTCTCCCCTGAAACAGGCCATAAAATCTAGCTGACGTTTTCCTGAAGTAGGCCATAGACCCTCATTCCAGAGGTGCCCTTCTTATTCCTGGAAGAAAGCAATATCCTTATCTCTGAAGACACAGGGACACAGAGAAGAACCTGAACAAACAAGCCTTGCTAAGTTCTCCCCAGTTTATTACCATTAGATCACACCCCCTTTGTCCAATTACACTTCTGCGCAACTGTCCACTATTTAAGTATAAAAATACACAAGTTTCTCTATTTCTTTGAGTCTTCTTTTCTGAAGGCTCCTGTGTCATGTAAAACTTAAGTTTGTGAGCTTTTCTCTTGTTAGTATGTTTTTATTATAGGTGCCTCAGTCATGAACCTAGTGATGATTATGAAAATAAGTATCTTCTCCCCTATGGGAGGAAATATTTTTTTCCTCCTTTGACTTGGGTCCAGTGTTTGGGGTTCTGCAAATTAACTGACAGTAGACATATTAATAGGAGAAAAGACAAAATTTGTGTATTCATTCTGGATCCTTTAGATGAAATGGCTATTCAATCAGCCAAAGATAGAAGTTTATATATCCACTGAAAAAG